TTGTCTCTCTTATACTAAAGAATCTTGTTTAACTGAGTAAGGCAGAATGGGCAGAGTCCTATTCAAAGATGTTTATCCATAATAACCAAGTTTATATTAAAAAAGGAAAAAGCTGATAATTTATGTTTTGAAAGCTTTTCTTAAAGTTTATACAAGACCATAACTGTGCTGCCATGGTTTCATATTTGTATCACTGAATTATTCAGCTTCTGTTTCCAAAGAACTACATTTTGTCTTACCCTGAATGTTTTTCTTTGTATTTGGCACTTGACAGGGCATCATTTTCTGAGCCTTCTTTAAAATATCTCACTTAATCTCAGATTACTTGTCTGGGGTGTATTTGGAATTTTAAACAATACTAGAATAATAAAATGCTGTCTGTTCTCTGTACAGTTACATGACACAATGTCAGACTAAACATACATTCTTATAGTCTTTAATTGCTAAATCTGAGACAAACAATAATGTATTTTAAAGAGGAAATTTTATACTTTGTATCAGTTTTCCTGTGAAAGCCAAAGAAATGGATACAGTATTGAGTTAAAATGTAAGAATAAGCAGTGTTTTCTGCATGGCATTAAAACAAACATACAATTATGTAGCATAATGCATGAAATGTTCCATACATGAGTTAATTTCCTTGAATGTAGACACCGAACAGATGCTACAGTGTGAGCTAAACTTGACATTGTTTAACTGGTAAAACATTCTTGATTTTTGCAATTTTTGGTAATTACTTGCATTATTAACAGTTTAGAGGGAAAATAGATTCGCATATGCTATCGTGCTTTTTTTTAAAATGAAAGGTAATCCTGAAGACACTGACTCTGGAAAATAGCTGGATAAGAAGAGATAATTGTTCTTGATTTTTGTATCCTGTACTTTGTACCTTAAAGCAGTCATTATTCACTAATACCTACCACTTGCTTACAGGATATTTAAGATGTCCATTGATAAGGACTCTGTTCTACAAAAATGAGCTGAAATACTACAGTAATTCTACTAGAGCTTAGAATTATTCTTTTTTTTTTTTAAAAAGAAACAAAGCTCAAAGAAATAACTTGCCGAAGGCTTACTGCTACATATGAATAGATTGATCTGACTTCAAAGTCCTTGCTGCTAACCAGTGTGTTATAATAGCAACTCCTTTCAATCCCAACCCTATCCACACCCAGGGAAGGACCTCTGTTCAATAACAGCGAGCATGTCGCTCAGTGATATGGAGTGAATGTTTTAAACTTTGTATTTTGAAATCCTAACCTCCAATGTGATGAAATTTGGAGGTTGAGTAATTAGATCATGAGAGTGGCGGCCTCCGGATTGGATCAGTGCCCTGAGTCATGACAAAGCTTGATATTTTTCCTCTCTTCCATGTGAGGATACAACCAAGAAGGCATTCATCTGCAAACACCAGGATGAGGGACCTCACCAGGAAGCAAACCGGTTGGCTCTTTATCATGTACTTTCCAGACTCATACTGTAAGAAGTAAATTTCTGCTAAGCCAGTGGTATTTTTGTTACAGCAGCCTGGATAGGACACCTACTGACAGTCCATCTAGTAAAAGTGATGCTGATTTGTTCTACTAGAGTTAGTCAGTTCTTCTCTGACTTACTCTGTGGTCTACTATCCTTGATGTCAGTAATGTCTACCCAATTATTTTTTAACACTTATAGAAAACCAAAATAACTAGAAGAATGTGAAATTGGTAAATATCAATTGATATATTTTATTTATATCTATATATGAATACAAAGTTCAGAAAAAGGACTCCCATAGATATAGTTTAGTTGTTATCAACAAAAGCATCAAGTTAATTTAACAAAGGAAAAGAAATTCCTAAATGATGGTAGAACAATGGATATATGTATATAACAAATTGAACTTTGAACTCTACTTAATTGCTTACAAAAATCACAACTTAAATATAATAATTTAAGAACTATGAAACTAGCTGAGATTTAGCTGGTGGCACAAGCACCTATTTGGCAAGTGCAAGCATAAGGTCAATCCGTGGTACAAAAACAAAACAACAACAACAACAACAAAGGCAAGAATCATAAAACTTCTAGACAAGATTATATAACATTTTCACAAATGTGGATTTGTAAAGCACTAAACTATAAAAGAAAAATATTATCAAACTATACTTTTCTTCTTGTCAAAAAGACACCTTTAAGAAAATACTCAAGATATAAATCGGGAGACAATATTAATCATGTGTCACAAAGTACACTGTAAGAATAAAGAACTCTTAAAATCAATTTAATAAAAAGACACGCATGAATCTGATGTAACTCAGGGCTGCAGCACCTCCATTGCCCAGCAAGTGAGAGGGCATGGATTCCATCCCTGGGGGTAGGGTGAGGCTGTCTGCCAACATATTGGGTCAAGACCAGCCCAAAGTACCTAGGGAGATCCTGTCACCCCAAACAACAACAACAACAAAACAATAAAAAGGAAAATAAATACGAGTAATATGTAAAATGGGCAAAAGGCTTGAATACTATTTCATGAAAGATACACAAATGACCAATAATTATCAATAGGTGTTTAACACTGTTAGTTACCAGGGAAATGACAATGTGCATCATGATGAAATGCCACAGTCCTAGAACAGCGAACATAAAAATAATGCCTCCAATAAATGTTGTCAAGAAGGTAAAGCAAATGAAATCTTCATATGAGGCTGGTGTAGCACTTTGAAGATGAGTACAGTATTTTCTTATAAAATTAAGTTCATGTATGGCTCATGACCAGCAATTCCATTCTTAAGAAAGAAAAATAAAAACATGTTTACAAAATGCCTTTTACAATAATGTCATGAATAGCAGCCTTAATTTACAATAATTAAAGGCTGCAAAAAACCTATCAACAGAAAATTCAAAATTGTATTATATTCATACAGAATACTACTCATCAATAAAAAGGAACACCTTACTAAAATATGCAAAATTTTGCCTCTTTATTAGATCTTCAGCTTCTTTTTTATATCTTGGGACATTCATTCTTCATGAGTTGCTATTATACATGCCACATAGGTAGAATAGGAGAGATTTTCAGGTACTGAATGATCTCGCCAAGTTACTAGAGATACCCTCAGGTGAAATATGGCTGAAAATTGATATCTCCTGAGATATCCCTATGCAGGAAGTTTACAAAAACTCAGCCTATTTGTCATTCATACATATTTGTTGCTTTGAGGGAGGCAATCACATTTTCTATCCAAAAGGTTGTAGTGGTGTATGTTATACTCAATGTATAACTACAGAGTTGTTTATTAGGTACTTGGTATTTTAATTTTTTTGGTACTTGGACTCAAACTCAGTACCTTGTACTTGCCAGGCAAGCACTATGCTGTTGAGCTATAGCCTTGGCCCAGGTACTTGATATTTTATATGCTATCAGGAATCTGTGCATAATATTCTGTGGGTCAAATCCACAGAAATTTTTTTTTTCTTGGTAAATAAAGTCTTACTGGAACACAGCCAAGAGCATATGCTTATGTACTCTCCATGGATTCTTTTGTATATATGTAGTTGAATGCAGTATGGTCCCTGTCATACTATTTACTACTCAGGCCTTAAGACTAACAATGCTGCTCTACATTTCCATTGGGTGGCAATCTTGTTTTTTTTTTTTTTTTTTTTTTTTATAGGTACTTAAAGAGTCAAATAATTTTGGGGGAAATGATAGTTCTGAGACAGTCTAGAATGAATGCCTTTTCTAGCTTACATAATAATGGAGTAAAAATATCCTCCTATTCAAAAAATTAATTATCTAAACAGATTTTAGGAATAAATGACTTTGCTTGGACAATTCAGTTAAAATAGTCAACTTGAAACTCTTATATACTCATTTACAATTCTGACTTTAGATTTGGTGAATGTTTTTCTTTGACTGTCATAAAGTTGGTGATATCGAATGCCAATGCAATTAAATATGTTTTAAATGGAGCTTAACTACTGATAGCAGTTATTTTTAAACTTATAACATATTAGTGGTTAGCAAGAGCTGATTAAACCAGAACCGTTCATGTTCTTTACCTGTACTCTGCTGGTCCTACATTCTTTTTTCTGAGAAAACTGTCTAGAGGTTATTTTTGACTTGCCAAAGGTCACAGTCCAGCAGTGATAGTTAAATGACAATCCCCAGCACCTTTTACCATTTGCAACGAAGGAAAAACTAATATAAAGAATTTTTTTTTTTTTAAATCTCATGAACTTTCTATTGGACCATCGTACTGGGGAGAAAAGGAAGCATTGCTGGAAGGAAAAAAGAGTAAAATCAATGGATAGAATCAGACACGGTTAAAATGCTCAGTTGATTGTTGCTCTAGATATGAACTAAATAGTGTATCAACATATATAGCAAGTATATACTTAATATTTAGTAAGTATATATGTTTACTATATCTATCTAGCTAGGTAGCTAGATAGACAGATATAGTAAGTATATAGTAAGCCTAAAAGTCACAAGACAGAGGCACCGAATGATTTTCCAAGTAAAATCTTGTTTTACTTGTTCAAGAATTTATAAATTTTACCACTTGGCCACAGCACACATAGAATGTGAGATTTTGGAGAATACCAATTGGATCCCTCATTTAACAGGAAAAAAAAAAAAAAAAAAAACCCTCTATGGCCTACATAAGGTCTCATGAAAAACCACCACACATTCAAAACGAGCTTTCAGCGTAGTGGCCTTGGCTTTTTCAAATCTCCCCTTTAGAAAAACCAAAACCAAGGCACTTCCAGATCTAGAGTAAGAAAATTCGAAACTGGCTTTATTCCCTTTCAGTTAAGCTCTGTTAAAATTTTCAGTAACTATGCACAAGTGCTACCCTTTTTATAAAACAAAAGCTTTGAGGAATTTACCACGGTAACGAAGGGGGCGGGGACAAGGCGCCCCTCCGGCACCGCCCCTTCACTCTGGCCAATAGCAGCACAGGCGGTGTTGGCTCCTCGGAACTCGGCCAATCGGCTGCGCTAGCTGCCAAATCAGCGGAAGGGGCGGAGCGGCCGTTGCCACAGAAGCCACTAGCCGGTTACTAGCTCCTCTTTATGTGCTGCTACGCCTTCGTGGGCACTCTTCCTTTGTTAGCTGTTCTAAGACATTTGCTTCTCACCTGGCGTCCCTTGCTGTTTTCCTACCCTTCCTCCTAACTCTACAGGCCCCTCTATTTCGCTCCCTCCTAATTGACCCAGGGCTGGAGAGCACAGGCAGGTACGCTGGCCGGGGTGCCCGTTACTATCGCCGAACGCCAGCCGCGGAGCCTCCCTCAGGCGCCTTGCACCCTGCCGAGGAAGGACGGCTCAGTGACGCGCTGACGTCATGGCGACGTGCTGACGCAACAGGGAGTCGGGGTGAGGCTTTGGGGGGTGAACTTATAGTGGGGAAGCTTGATTGCTGCCAGGCGGTTACTGAGGCGGCTCTAGCCGGGAGTTGAAAACCCAGATCACCCTGGCTGGTCCCAGCCCCTTTGTGCGCCTCCCCAGTCATTCCCTGGGGAGAGTGTGGTACCTGGGACCTTAGGACAAATGTTACCGCGAGATGGACTTGTCCAGAGAGTGGCCTAGTATTCGTGTTTCTTTAAGAAATAGTACTTTCTTAATTGCTCTGTTGGTTTTTAATCGTCCACTGAACTACCCAGTCGTTCCTTAATTAGGTGAGAGATGTGCCAGGTAGTTGTTGGTTCCTTCTCCAAAATCGTCAGGGATGGCGAACCTGTAGCACGCGTGCCGCAGCGGGCACGCAGAGCCCTCTGTAGGCTTAGGAGCCAAAACGCCCTGGCAGTGCTCCAGCAACAGAGCATCGGGTAACAGCCACATAGCAGGAGTGTCGCTGTAAACTAGGGGGTTTGGTTTAGAGTTTGGGTATTAGGTCTAAAAGGTTCTCCATCACTGCTCTGGGTTCTTACTGAAGATCCCTTTTTAGTGTTTGGCACAGTATGTTGGAAAGCGCCAGGGGCTGGCTTGTTTGTACTGTCAGCTCTGTCACAGCTATAGGTGTGATCTTAGGTCACTTAGCCTTCCTGGCTTCAGTTTCCTTATCTGTAAAATGGGGGACACTAATGGTCATTTTGGGGTACTTGTAATAAAGAATATAAGTGATGCCGAATACAAGGTGGTTGGTTCGTGGTGCTTCTTATTGTGAATAACCATAATCAGACTGGTTGCGTTCATAGTCTATTTCAAAGGCAGTTCCATATCATCTGATGATTTGTGATGTTTCAAATGTTTGAGTAGGGTCTCGCAGTAGTTTTTGTTAGTTACGATTAAAGGAACAACTACAGAAAGCACCAGACTGCCCCGTGATTCAGGGGATTGAGCTCAGCTCGCCACTCCTTTTTCTTCCTCCTCTTTCTCCCTACTTTTCTTCATCCCCTTCTTTTTTCCTTTCTTCTTATCTTTCTTTTTTCTTTTTTTACTTCTATTTTAAGACAAGGTCTTGCTGCCACATTTCCCAGGCTGGGCGCCATCTTTCTACCTGGGGATCCAACTGCCAGTACACCCAGCCTGTCTACTTCTCCGTAAAATTACTTAGATGCTTTTCTACTTACAGGAGAAATATGATCGTGTTTATAATTTTTTAAGTTATTAATATTTTTGTTAACTTTTTCTTATGCTACTTCCACAGTTGATGTCTACTAGTAGGTGAGGTTCTTGTATGTTGCATCCCAAGAAATGGAAAAAATGGCTTTGTTTATATTATTTGTTATGCTTGCGTATAGAAATGCACGAGAGATAAGCAATAATAAGATTGAAATAACATCTATCCACTGGGCCAGAAATCAGTGATTGTTTTCCCTTGGGCTCTGTGTTAGTAATTCTCAATGTATGGCAACCTTAATCATGATTTGCAAAAATTCTACAAATAATTAGGATTTGAGCAATTCTCAGCACCTATAAACATGTAAAAGCAATAAATAAAGGGGATAATTCAGACTCAGAGCCCTTAATGGAGATGATGAATATGCTGTATTTTTTTACTTATGCATTGCTTGATTCATTTTGGAGATTAAAAGAAAATGTTTTTTTATTTTAGAGTAAAAGCAAGGCTGGTAGGTGCTGAGGATTTGACTATAAGTCAGACATTCTTGAGATTCCAGTCTCCCGAGAGATAAATATTTAAACAAATGAATAAATTAAAGATAAATGTTGTACCAGGACCTCTCTTAGGGCGGTAGCTATTGCTACTGAACAAACCCATGATGAAGGTTTCTTGATTTCAGTGACTTATCCAGAGCACATTCCCCTTTATCCTTTAAGTTTGGCTTTTTAATTGAATTTTATATATCTGCATATGTTTATTCTATAAATAACTGAAAATGTGTATTTTCAGCATCAGAAAGGATCGTCTTGGGTTCTGTATAGGTTATGTAGCTGTTCATTTTGGATTTTGGTTGCTGACAGTGAAAAAACAGGAGCATTCCTTGGCCTGTGTCCTAAATATTTGACTCTGCAGATTATAGAACCATCAGAAAAAAATGCAGTTTTACAGATATTTTGGATTAGAAATGTTAATTCAATATTGTGAACTATTTTTGACCTATAATTTCATATCTAAGACTGAAAATTCTTGAACATAATGTGTTTTTGTTACATAATTGCAAAATAAATCATAACTATAAAAATACAGAATGCTTTAAACACAACTTTTGATTTTTAAAATTTTTTTATTTTAAAGAGATTAAGACAAAAGAGGACATAACAAAGCAGATCAGATTAGAACAATGCAAGTAAAACAGCATTTTACCACAAGACAACCCATAATTAACAGTAACTACCATAATATCTCTTTCTTTGAAATAGTTAACCATAGCTTCATATACGATAGTATCAAACATAACAAAACAGTATAAAACCATTCAAGAGAATGAAAGCATTACAGGGCTTTCAGAACCAAATAGCAGAGAATGAACAATGGCTACTATATTATCTCATTTTCCATAGAAAATTTGTTTATACTATCACACATAATAATATCCAATAAAATATAACATAATAGAACCAAAGGCAACAAAAAAAAAACAAAAGCATAGTAGGACTTCAGAGTAAGATGATACTAAATCAGCTCTGGCTATTCTAATGTCTTCTTTTCTATAATATAGCTATTTATACTATCACAGATAATAAAATCAAACAAACTAGGATAAAACCATTCCAACTAGTGAATGCAGACATTATAAGGCTTCAGAGCAATGTAATGGGGAATCATGATTACTATAAACTCTTATGTACCCTTACCATTTCTTACACTAGGAAGACTATACGGTATTTATATATGTGAGTTTGATTTATTTTGCTTTTGAGTATGGTCTCAAGTTGTGTCCGTTTATTTATAAATATCTCAATATGATCATTCTTTATAGCTGAGTAGTAGTACCACAGCTTTTTTATCCATTCCTCAGTTGGTGGACACTTACGTTGTTTCCAAGATCTGGCTATTACAAATTGAGCTGCTATAAACATGAGTGCATGTATATCACTGTGGTATGATGTTTTCAGTTCTTCTGGGAATATGTCTAGAAGTGGAATAGCTGGAACAAATGGGACTTCCAATCCCAGCTTTTTGAGAAATCTCCAGACTGACCTCCACAATGGCTGCCCCAGTCTACACTCCCACTAACAGTGCAGGAGGGTTCCCTTTTTCCCACAGCCTCTCCAGCACTTGTTGTTGTTGGTTTTCTTGATCCTGGCCATTCTTTCAGGAGTGAGATGAATCTCAGTGTGGTTTTAATTTGCATTTCTCTAATGAGTAATGATGATGAACATTTTTTCATGTATTTATTTGCCATTTGAGATTTTTTTTTATTTTAAAGAGATTAAGACAAAAGAGGACATAAGACGTAAGAGGACATAAGTTCTCTCATCTGAGAACTGTATATTCATCTTAGATGCCCATTTTTGGATTGAATCTTTGAATTTTGGGGATCTGATTTTTTTTAAATTCTTTATATGTTTTAGACAGAGGTCCTTTGTCTGAGGGACAGTTCACTAAAATTTTTTCCCCAGTTTGTGTGTTTTCTTTTCACTATATTGGAGATTTCTTTTGACATGTAGAAACTTTTTAGTAAGACGTGATCCCAGCTGTTAATTCTGGGAAGTATTTCTTGTGCGGTTTGTTTCCTGTTCATGAATTCTCTACCTACCTCTGTGTCTTCAAGATTTTTACCTAATTTATCTTCCAACAGATTTAGTGTTTCTGTTTTAATATTCCGATCTTTGATCCATTTAGATTTTAGTTTAGTATATGGTGATAGGCATGAGTGTAGTTTTAGTTTTAGTTATGGAGAGCCAGTTTTTCCAACACCATTTATTAAAGAGACTATCATTCTTTCAGCGAACATGTTTGTTCCCCTTTATCAAAGATAAGGTGGTTAAGTGTGTTGGCTGTATCTCCTAATCTATTCCATTGATCTTTGGCTCTGTTTTTATTCCAGTACAACGTTGATTTTATTACACTTGGTTTGTAGTATAACTTCAAATCAGGGTTTGTGATGCTTCCTGCCTTGCCTTTGCTGCTTAGAATTGCCTTTGCTATTCTAGGTCTCTTCTGGTTCCAGATGAATTTTAGGATTGATTTCTTTAGATCTATGAAGTATTTTAATGTATTTTCATTGGGACTGTGTTGAATCTTTATAACATTTTTGGGAGAATGGCCATTTTTATGATATTCACTCTTCCTATCCATGAACAAGGGATGTCTTTCCATTTTCTGAGATCCTCTTCAATTTCTTTTTCAGGGTATTATAATTTTCCCTGTATAGATCTTTTACTTCTTTTGTGAGATTAATTCCTAAGTATTTCATTTTTTTGGATGTTAGTGTGAAGGGTGTGGCTTCTTTTATTTCTCTCTCTGTGATTTTATTGTTAGTATATAGAAATGCTATTGATTTTTGAGTATTGTTTTTGTATCCAGCTACATTGCTGAATTTATTATATCTAGGAGCCTTTCAGTGGAGTTTTGGAGGTCGTAGAGTATCATGTCATCCGCAAATAATGATAATTTAGCTTCCTCTTTTCCTATCTTTACCCCTTTTATTTCTCTCTCTTATCTCATTGCTCTGGCTAGTATTTCCAATACTATGTTAAATAGGAGCAGTGATAAGGGACATCCTTGTCTTGTGCCTGATTTTAAGGTAAAGGCCTTCAGTTTTTGGCCATTTAATATGATGCTGGCTGTTGGTTTGTCATAGATGGCCTTTATCATATTGAGGTAAAGACCATCTATTCCAATTTTCTATAAGGTTCTTAGCACAAATGAATGTTAGACCTTATCAAAAGCTTTTTCTGCATCTATAGAGATTATCATGTGATTCTTACTTTTGGCTTTATTGATATGGTGGATTACATTTATTGACTTACATATGTTGAACCATCCCTACATGCCTGGGATGAATCCCACTTGGTCGTGGTGTATAATCTTCTTGATGATTTGCTGTGTCCTGTTTGCCAATATTTTATTGAGGATTTTTGCTTCTGTGTTCATTAGGGAGGTTGGCCTAGTTCTCTTTTTTAGTTGGGTCTTCCTCAGGTTTTGGTACCAGAGTAATATTTGCTTTCAGGAATTACTTAGGAAGAATTAGTTCCCTTTTGATTTCATTGAAGAGTTTGAGGAGTGTCGGCATTAAGTCTTCTTTGTACAACTTTTGATTTTTGTGTAAATATAAAATGAAGTCAGGGAGACACATTTGTGTATATTATTAGATTTGTGGAAACATAACCTTAATGGTTGCTAAAGGTCTAATTTATTTAATAAGGAACAATTTTAAAATTCATAAACAATTATATTTTAAGAGTAACATCTCCCAAGTTTGAATGAAAACAGTTAGACTGGTAAAGTTTGGAAGTACTGTCATTGTCTGTTGATTATCACCACAGAGTGTCCTGCATTGTGCAGGGAATAGGAATAAGTGCAATTTTGAATGATGCACTTTCAAAAGAATATCCTGTATGTGTAGGTTTTATTGTCAAATACTTTCAAAAGTATGTTAAATTTCTGTGGTTCTAGGCATAAATAAGATACAGTATTTAGTAAAACTTTGGTTTGTGAGCATAATTCATTCTAGAAACATTGCAATCCAAAGCACGTGTCTTATCAAAGTGAATTTCCCCAGAAAAAAATCAGATGGTACATTCCACAACCCAAAAGTAAGTACTCATATAAAATTGATTGCAAAACTGCAGTACACTACAAAATAATAAAGAAATTGCAAAATATAAAGAAAAATAATTAACCTGCACTTACTCTGAAGACCTGCATTGTTGGTGCCATGAAGACTAGAGAGGAGGATTATTGTGTAGAATGACTTTCACTAACAATCTTTGTTACCTATTGACTCAATGGAATCTATTTTCATTAACAAGAATTTCTTGGAAATGTGACATTGTATTGTGATTAAATAGATTCATTGCACTGCTACAGCTTAATTTAGATGGTGCTTTTCTACAAACTTTGCACTGCTTCCCACATTTTACACATCTCTTTAATTTCATTTGAAGTGAGGGATTTCTTTGCCTTTTTGTCTTTTTCCTCTACAAATGGAATCTCTATAACCTCCTGCTTTTTGGAGCCAATCACCCACAATCCTGCAGGGACAGAGGCTATGAGGGAGGGAAGAAAACCATTGGCTCAGTTGTGATCATGTGAGGTTTGGTATACTATTAATATTGCAAAACATTTCTTGTTTATCAAGTTAAAATTTATTAGAAATGTTTGCTTCTCTTGCAGAACACTCATGGACAAGTTACTCACAATCTGAGGTTTTGCTATATTTCTTATTGGTTGTCTAGTGGAACTGAAGATCATGGTTGACATATGGTTTATATGTCTGTTTTCTAGTCATATTGGAAGTGAATTTTATTGTAGTACTCTAAGAACTAGACTAATAAAGATTTCTAAACATTTATGTTAAAAATAGCGGGCCTTCTAGAAGGTAGAAATTGACAATCAATGATTATACTATGCAATTTTGATGCTATTTTGAGTTAGAGTGACAATGAGTAGGAGTTATAATTTTTATTTTGTCTTTGAAATTTTCTTTTACATTTCATTAGGATGTAATTTATCTTATAAGGATAGAAAATAAGAATCTACTGAAATAACTAATAACTGAAATGTTTCTTAGCTTTCAGCTTATGTGGAGTTGTTGAAGTCACCTATAAAGCCATTGACGGAATTTATGGAGAAGCCTACAAATCATGGCAGTCAATCAGAAGAACTCTTTGCCCATCTTAAAAGTACACCAGAGAAAGAACGTTTACCACAGGTTGCCAGTGAAAGTCAACTCAGCTGGTATTCTTATCATTATCAGGGGAAACTCATCTTCTCATTTTGGGGATTCATATTTTGTCCAAAATGTACATTATGAACAAAACATATTCTTTCAAAAGTTTTTTTAAGGGCAGGGGATTTAGCTCAGTGGCATAAGTACCTGCCTGGCAAGCTCAAGGTCATGAGTTCAATCCTCAGTATCAAAAAACAATGTTATTTTCAAATTTAAAATTCATTAAAATATATACTCTGATACAACTGTACAGTGTTTACAAGACTTTCAATCTTAATGAAACCAATTAAAAATGTTAGCCAAATCCATTAAAATTTGTAAAGTCTTAACTAAGTAAGTGAAATATTGAAAATATAGATAATGAGTAGTAATTCCCTATCATTTGGTATATTGCTATATAATAATGCTTGTCATATTTTGTTTCTTTAGAATGGGAAATACATGTTATTTATATGCATCATTATTCCTTAAAATATTATTTTCATTATTTATAGTATAGCCCAGTTTCTAGTTTAACTTGTAAATGAAAATGTTGTTTTATCGTATACAATAATTACTGACTTTCTGCCCATAGTTTTTAATGATGGGCAGGTGTCTTTATTGCCATAGTCTTATTTGGACTTTCACTTTAAGCCAGTAATACTAACAAAATCTATGTTTTGACATATCTTGTGAGATGTCAGTATTTTATGTTTTGTTCAAAAAGAGAAAAGCTACCATTTAAAGCTATAGTGCTTTCATGTCACTTGGAATTTTAATCATATTTAGAAAGTTCCTTTAAATATAGTTATATAGTGCACATATTTTCAATTCAAATAATTTTCAATTATATAAAACAAGTGAAATAAAGTGTAGTATTTTCAAAATTATACTCGAAAGTCAAACTCTTTTGAGCCCTCCCCCACTTTTTTGTTTTCAGTACGGGAGATTGAAGCTTGAATGTTGCCTGACTTCCCTAACTTTTCTCTACATTTGTTCCTGGGGCTAAAAACTGTTGTGCCCTGTCTCTGAGCTATTCTTCAAAGTTTTGAACACCTCATTCTGCAAGTTTTGGATGTGTGCAGATAGGTCAAGGTGCCTGTGGCTAAGGGTTTGGAGCATCATCTTGAATCAGTGTACCCTCTTCCCTACGTGTGAGAGAGACCAGGGAAGCATAATCAAGAGCACAGACATTAGCAGTTTTAAGTGGTAAAACACGTATTCCAAAGTCAAGCGGGAAGGATTTTGAGACATCTGGAAACTTTTAGTTTTTTGTGTCCCATTTGTTTAACTTATTTATTCTTTTGGAGCAAGTTTTTGTGAAGAACAATAAGTTTTATGCAAGGATTTGAGAATAAGGTCTACAAAGAATTTTTTTTAAAATTTAGAATAAGGGAGAAGGAGGAGAAGGAAAAATATACACACACATTTACATACTCAGTCTTATAAACTAGAGAGCGGATATTGATAATTACCAACCAGCATAATTAAGCATTACTAATGCTTCTGTGGTTTACATATCCTTACATTTTAAAAAATTACCTTCCATGTATAGAAAGTATAGAAAAATTATGCAAGTTGGGCAAAAGTTTCCACAGTTTCTCTGATAATTTATTACCATATTTTGTATAGCAGTTTGTAGAACTAATATTTATTCCATATTAACATAAAAAGTGTAGTATAAAACATAAAAAGTATGTAGTAGATTTAATTTAAATTTTATTTGTGCATATGAAATTAGCCTGAAGCAGGACATCCTAAATGATAAAAAGACTGAATTGGAGACAACACTTAAGGAAGCTGAGCTGGCAACCTGTTCTTTAGAAGCACTTTTACCATTATTTAAGAACACCATTGAAGAGATTAATTTTGCAAATGTGAGTATTGATCTATGACATCTAATAAAATGACAAGCTGGAATAATGCACAGAATGCATTAAATAAGATCTCACATTGTAAGTAGGTATGCTTACATATGAGTATTTGATACTAAAAATGGGAATTTATCAGTGTCCTTTATTCCTGTATCATTAACTATAATTCTTTCCCTAAAAGATACAGTAATCTCAGACCTGCGCCAGGTGAAAAGTGAAGCTGGAAACTATATTTGGGTTCTTGAGTCCCTAACCTTTAACGAGAGTATCAGTTCTTCTCAATGGTGAATTTAAAAGTAAATTTTCTAAGAAAGAAGATATCTTTGTTTTCTATCACGCAATTTGGAAATTTTACAATTTTGACATACTAAGGTTGGAGTTAGGAACAAAAAATAAATTGTGTACTATAACTTATTAGAATAAACACTGTAATAATTTTGGAGTTGTAAGCCCTTGTTTTATTTTAATTTAATGCACTATGTAATAGATCCTGTCTACTATTACTGTTAAGTTTGGCAGAATCTACTATTACTGTATGCAGAAGAATGGTTTTGTTGCTCGGGAAAGTTATTCTTCAATGGTATTACTTTAGAATGTTTACCATATTACGTCTTAAAGAACCTGTTCTTATATTTTGTCAGGCCCATGTTTCTGCATCCAAGTTAAAGAGGATTTCTGAACAGAAGGAGATATTAACAAAAGAGTTAAATACTTTTAAACATGTGAAACTAGCTTTGGAGCATCTTCTTATAAAGACAGACTACAGACAAGTAAGGCATCATTGCTGAGCACTCAGTTGAGAGTGATGTTTTCCACTTGAAGAATATATTATTTCTGTAGCTATAAAATTTAAGATATTGATATATTTGAAATGGAAATAATTCTTTGAACTTTCGTTTGAAATGGTAGTCATTAAACTAACCCCTACGTTTATTCTTCCATAAATAGTTCTTGAAAACATGACAGATTTTTATAAAAAACAGATTTTTATTTCCTATCCAAAAAACTTTCATTATTTATTGTTCTTCTTTTAGCTGCTTGTAATAAAATACCCATTCTTAGAATTTATGGTCCTGTGTACATTATATGTTTTATATATATATATGCTATTTTTAAAACTAAAAATTGAGATGTCAAAAATTTATATATGGATAGGATAGTATGTAATGTCTTCATACATGTATGCATTGTATAATAGCTAAACATATCTAACTTTTTATGGTGAAAATTCAAAACGTTCTAATATTTTGAAATACACAGTAGGTCATCGTTACCTGTAGTTACCCACTGTGCAATAGCCCGCCGGAACTTACTACTCCTAACTGTAATTTAGTACCTATTGACCTACTCTTCTCCATTTCTCCCCACTACCTTTCCTGGTTGCTGGTAACCACCATCTCAGCCTCTATGAGTGCAACTGTTCCTCGCTTATTTCACCTAGCATCATGATCTCGTTACTTCTATCAGAATTTCATTATGCTTTATGACTAAATATTATTGCATTGTGTATATGTACCCATTTTCTTAATCCATTCATCATTTCATGGACACGAAAGTTTCTTTTTCTTGTGAATTGTGATACAGTCATTACAGGAGTGCAGAATTTTCTTCAACATACTGATTTAATTTTCTTTGGATATATACTCAGCAGTAGGATTGCTGTAATCACAAAAATTGTTCTATTGTTAGGATTTTGAGGAATCGCCATACTGTTTATAGAATGTTTGTACTAATTCACATTCCTGTCAACAATGTACAAAATTTCCCTTCTTTACACATCACAGCAGCATTTATCTTTATCTTTTTGATCAGAGCTATTGTTCCTGGGGTGAAGTGATGTTCATTGTGGTTTTGATTTGCATTTCCCTGATGAGTAGTGGTACTGAACAGTTTTTTCATGTACTTATTGGCAATTTGTATCTGTTCTTTAGCTCTGTTTTTAAATGTTTATTCTTTTTTCCTTGGATACCAACCTCTTGCCAGAGCTATTTTGAAAATACTGTCTCTGTAGTCTTGGTTGTTTCGATCACTGTATTGAAGCTTTACATGTTGATATAATCCCATTTCTCTATTTTTGTTTCTGGTGATTTTGGGATCGTGTCTAAAAAAATCCTTGCTTACCGCAATGTCCTAAAGTGTTTTGTATATATTCCTTTTTTTTTTTTTTCTTTTTGGTTAAAGGCTTTATTAAGATAAAATTCACATACCATATACTTCTCCCGTTTAAAATATTAAATTTATTGTTTTTTTTAGTATATCACAGAATTGTACAGCCATCACTATAATCAATTTTAAAAGAATTTTTATCACTTTAAAATGAAATTCTGTACACCTCCTATATACCTGCGACCATAAAGGATCTTGAGGCAACCACTCTATACTTCAGTCGCTATATGTTTGCTTCTCCTGAATATTTTATATAAATGGAATTATTACATGTGGTTTTCCATGACCACTTTCTTTGAGTTAGAATAGTATTTTAAAAGTTCTTCCATATTGCAGCTTTTATGTACTTTATTCCTCTTTATTGCTGAATAATTTTGTATTTGTAGGTATACGTACACTTCTGTCTATCCACTCATCAGTTGATGGATTTTAGAGTTATTGTTGATAGAGTTTTAAATGCAAAAGTAATTTATTTATTAAATGGTTTTTCAATAAATAGGAGTCTTAATCTTTTGGCTATTATGAAAACAGCTGCTATACACATTAATTTATAACGTGGCATGGATATGTTTTTATTTCATTGTTTATACACCTAGGAGTGGAATTGCGTGGCACATCTTCTTCACACACACTTACATATGCACACACATGTACACACAATTTCCCTTTAGCTATCGAAGGGTATCCTTGGGTCAGGGACAGAGCTTCTCTACTTCCCCTGGTTCTGCACTGTATACAGGCAGAGTAGAGTCTCAGCCCTTTTAATCCAGCATAGCAATAGCAAATGTGGAATGAGAGGGTGTCACCTCATCAGTAGGACAAGCTGGTTCAGAGCCTCCCTGAAAACTAAAGCTTCACTTTAGCAATGCAAGAATCCAGTATGACTGTGATGGCCAACCTGTGGCACAGGTGTTACTGTGTTTCTCTTTTAAGACAAAAGCTGTTAATGTAGAGAATATAGAGGTTTTCTTTTTTCTTTCCTAAATGAAAACTTCAATATTCAGGTTTAATTGCAATGTTAAAACTGTAAAAAACAGGTAGATTTTGGGTTGCATTTGGCCCTCAGTCTTCAAAAGGTTTACCATCACTGGAATGTGGCATAGTCAGGTAAAAATATTTAAAAGAATAATTCAGTACTGTTTTCTTCTTTACTGTTTTTTCTCACTTGTGAGATAAAAGAATTACATAAGATCAAGATTTTTAACCTGAGAATCTTAGTTCGAGGTCTACGAAATTTCTGAAATTTAATGCAAAATATTGTGTGATGATTAGAGATAAGATCTCCACATCAATAATTTTTACTTCATTATGATTGTTACATCGTTTGAGTCTTAGTACAAATACACTTTATGAGATTCAACTGTAGTAAGCTGCAAAATGTTGAATGACAAAATCTTGACTCCCTTTTGCCTCTTTGTTATGAGGGCATTCTCTCAGAATTGTAAATATATAGTATTAGATAACAGATTTGGAATTAAAAAGTTACATGCTCATCAGAAATTTATATAAGCAAAAAATTTATAATTCTCTTGATATCAATAGTCAGTGAAAAGTCACTATTAAGCTCTAGTAAATTTATGTTGTTTATATGTGTAGTCTTTTGTTTCATTATTATGTATGTTTTGTTTGAGTTTGTGTGTGTGTGTGTGTGTGTGTGTGTATGTATATATATATATGTGTGTGTGTGTGTGTGTGTATTTTAGAATTAATGGAGTCATGGTACCCTCATTGTCTTACGTCTTCACTTTTGTATTTAACACAGTCTTATTGATATATTCTTAACTACTAAATATTTTTTAATAGAAAGGAATCTAAGCTCTGTGGACCCTGTGGCCTTATGAAATTATGTATACAGTTGTATACTACATGCATATATATGTATTTTGGATTAAAGAAATTTATAATTTGATGTTCTTCAGTAGAAACCTGACCTGCAAAAATGAATAAACATTCTCTATGGTCTCATTTTAAATGGCTGCATAGAATTTTGTTACTAATTTACTGTCTTTCTTTAAGAAATTTCTTTTTACTAGAATTTACAGTGTCTATAATTTATAAAAAGTAGTATGCTGAAGTTCTTTTTCAATAGGGGTTTTGTGATTTTTAAACATCATTGGCCTACATTTTTTAGAGGTATTAAATACTCTTGGAATGAATTTAATAAATTAACTAACTTCATAATGATAGCCAAAAAAGAATTTGAAACACTTAGACAAAAATGTGTTTGATGGTAACTCTCTTAGGAGACTGAGCTGTACATAATGGTCTATATTTATTTTTGTTGTTGTTGTTTGGTTTGGTTTGGTTGCAGGGATCAAACTTACGACCTTGTGCTTGCTGGGCAGGCACTGTGCCACTGAGCTATATCCCTGGCCCCATATTAATTTTTTGAGTGGCACTTATTCTGTTTTCTACTTGTTTTTATATGCAGAGGTATAGTTTGTGGACACTGAGTTATAACTTCCTTTTTTTTTTTTTTATAGACAGGAGACAATTTACCCAGTATGTTGCTAAAGAATCTAACTGATAATGAAAGTGAAAACATTGTAAGTGATTCTTCATTCTGTATCCACTACTTTTGACTTGTTTTGCTTGTATAAAATTAGTATTGTCTCAGCTGAGAAATTTCTTTTACATTGTTTTTTGAAGAATCTTAAGAAGAAGGTACTTGAAAAGGAGAACTATATTCAAGAACTTTCTTGCTTGTTTCAGAATGAAAAGGTAAGCAAATTTTGAGCTTTGGAACTCAGTTCACCATGTTTTCTTAATACAGACTTCTTCTTCCTTTCTTTACATCATGTTACTATATCCTTAAAAGTAAACAAAAGTATGGAACAAGGAAAGGCTTTTTGACAATTTAGATTATTTGGAATATTTTATAAGCTTTATGTGTTAAAAGGTAGCACTTAATTTTTCTCTGTTTTAAAAATTTTTTTGTTTTAGGGTTTTGTAGTTAACAGTGTACTTGGCATAAATCATCACAATTTAAGAACTCTGTATAAAAATGTGTTATATTTCAATTTGATAACAAATTAAGGAATTTTAGTGTTTGTAGGAGTATTTTAGATATACATATAATTTTTCTGAGGAGTAGAGATTGGAAATTTTTTTCTGCAAAAAATAGTTGTCAAGTGTCATTAAATAAAATGTGGGGGAAAATCTCCTCCCTAGTTTGCGTGAAATATGTTTGCAATGGGGGATCACTTTGTGGAAAGTATTTTGCTTTTATAAGCCTTTGAGATCTTCTGAATTGTAAAATTAAAAGTGTTGGTGGGAAATAGCAAATAACTTTTTGTTTTCATTTTTTCGTCTCTTTTAGGCAAATGCTTTGAAAGCAAACCGTTTTTCTCAATCAGTAAAATTAGTACATGAACGACTACAGCTCCAAATTAATAAAAAGGAAGCAGAAAATGATAAGTTAAAAGAGCACATAAAGGTTATAAATTCTTATCCATTTTTTATAGTTTTAGTGATAAAATTCATGAAATATTAGAAAACCATTCCAGAATTGTGGAATACGGTGATTATAACATAGTGCAGTGTGAGCACTGGCATGGAAATTCATCTAAGGTAAACCTTAATGGTAAGAATTCTGGTCCTTCTAAAAATTAGGGTTCAAATCCAAATATAAAAATGCTTTTAAAAGGGTTCAAATCCAAATACAAAAATGCTGTATTTTTTAGTATCATTCTAGGAGGAATTAGTTAAGATTGAATTACTTTAAACATCTTTTTCATGATACAGTTAATTTATGTCTATTGAGTAAATTTTATAAAAAACAAATATAAAGGAGAAAATGAAAACTACTTAAGCCATTAAACATACCAAAACCATTGTTAACATTTTGGTATGTGTGTTTCTAATCTTTTTTCCTATATCTATACATGTATACATACATATATGCATACCACAAAGCAGTCAACACATTTTTGTTATTAACCATAAAAATTTAAGTCTCAGTGAACCTGGCTTGTTATTAAATAATTTGAATAATTCTTATGTTGTACATCTTTGTAAGTTAATGGGATTATATGCAATTACAAGGTACAATGAAAGGAAAAATAAAATACAAGTGTAGGGAATTTCTGGTTTATTATTTTGTTGGTGGGACAGTCACTTTAAGATAAGAATTTAAAGTTGCTATCATACTTAACAACTTAACTGGATCTACCATTATATTTTTTTGCCAAGAGAATAAAATGTAGTGCTCTCATTTTTAGCGAAATGAACAGTTTTGCCCCATGGAGTCCAAGGACTTCTGCTTAGACTTTTGTGCTTCTAAATTACAGCCACCTGCCGCATGCGTTACAAGGCTGCGCCAGGGTTTACATATTTTTCTTTGAATGACAGAAAGCATTTGCTCTTTATGAGGACACTAAGTAGGTTTATGGTTCGTGTAAATTTTCTTCTTTTTAAGTCTCTTCACCCACAGAGCCCCTGTGTCCTTTACATTGATGTCACAGGACATCACAGATAAAATAGGTACAGTACTACAGTGCTCTTTATGATAAATACAAGAGAATACCGTCATTGTGACCTAATATACAGTTATTTACCTCAGTTTATTTTTCACAGTTTTAATTATTTTCTCAAAAAGCAGTTGGGAAAGTTTTGAAAATACTCAAATTTAAAAATGAAATGTTAAATGATTTTTAAAAGGTAAGTTTAACAGTTTTCATATATCTATAGCCATATCTATTTATTTGGCTATAGATATATGGTAATTTGGAGAAAGAACATCAGGCTGAAATCCAGAGACTTTGCCATGACATTTTCTTGCCTGATTTTTTCAAAATGCAAATGTTAAGAAATGATTAAAAGAAGTTGCTTTAAATTGCTGAGTTTTGTATAGTCCTCCCATTCATGTACTTTTAAAACACAGAGTAATCAGGGATTATTAGTATTTTATTTTTGGATTTAAGTATAAGAATTTTATTTTTTCTTTCTCAAGAATGAAAACAGTGAATTTAGCTTGACAGTATAAATCTCAGTTTTTTACTATGGAGTTTGTTGTATTTGGTCTTTTAACAATTTTTAGTTCTCTGAAAACTAAACAAATTTGTCGTTTAAAATCTTTGTAATATAGTACTTAAAGTTAGAATATCTTTTAATTTTAGAAAAGATAAGGAATGATTTTCTGCTTAATATACAGCATGCATGTAGTTCTTTTGCATTAGCAAAAGACCAGTGATAGACTTTAAATATGTCCTTTCATTTGGCAAAAAATAACCAAGGATTTACTGTGAAACTAAGAAAATATTTTGATGATTTTAGTATACTTCCTGATAGTTTGTCAGGTTAGGATTTGATAAAAAAAATAGTGAGAAAATCCAGGTGTAAGCTTTTTAAAAAAAATCTCTTAAACTGTCAAATGTAAAAGGATTTTTAACTTGTGTAGCAATTACTACATTCATGGGACAACGCTGACACCCTGTGGATTTTTAGAGAAATGACAGTTCTATTTCCTGTGGAGTGGCCTTTTCCCTTCCCTAGATACTTGCTGTCATGTTCTTGTTTTTTTCCCTAGCTATTCAGTGCAGTGTTTCATAAGAGTTTTTATTTTAGTTAAAAAAATTCTTTTTCAGTATTGAGGATTGAATGGGTGCTTAGTAAGCATTCTACCACTGAGCTATACGCCACCCCTTTTTAAATATTTATTTTGAGAACTGTCTCACGAGTTGTCCAGGTTGTTTTGGAATGTGCAGTTCACTTGCCTTAACCTCTCAATAGCTGGGATTATAGGCACGCAACATTTTCAAGACAATTTAAGAATGTATTTCAGTTTCTGATAGTTTACCCAGTGACTTTAAAGAAATCAAATCTAGACCCAAAAATGTACTTCATTAGAGAAAGGTAAAAAGCCTGCTTTTTGTTGGTAGAGTTGAAAAAACCCATCTTGTCCATGCCTCTTTTGAAATTGTTTTTATTAAGATGACTGGAGCGGGCCAGGGATTTAGCTCAGTGGCAAGAGCGAGGTTGTGAGTTTGATCCCCAGAACCAAAAAAATAAAAATAAAAATAAATTAAAAAAAAATAAAATAGGCATAAGAAACTAGAACCCAAATCCTGTAATAATTTCACATTGTTTTCAATATTACATATCGTTGAAAGTATAAAAGCATTAAAATTTCATCTTTACATATTTAGATATATCATACCCAAATACTTTCAATACAAAATCTTAAAATAATTTGAAATAAAAACATGAAAGCTCTTGCACTAAATTGGATCTGTTATCCACCTTGCGTAATATTCTTCAATTATGTTGCCAAGAAATATGTCAGAGATGGTTACACCATTTAAGATAAGCTCACTCAAAAAATAGGAGCCTGTCCTCACTGATCTTTCCCCCTCTACTGTTATTATAGGTCTAATAGTTATTGATTTATCTAAACATGTGTTTAGTTTTGGAATCAATCATTCCCTCTAAAAATTTACCACTCCTTGAGTAAAATAGTATTTTTTTTTTTTATCATCCTTACTGTAACTGCATTCTAGTGTCAGGGTGTGCTCTGTAATTCTAGTAAATTAAAATTTGGTAAGTCTATGTTCATCTTTACCCTTCATAATTTTGATCATATATTGTTTATGCTTTTATCTTTCCCATTAAAGAATGTATTTGAGGATCAAGCTTTTTATCTTTGAAACTAAAGAGTACTAGTATGTTTTGAGAGCTACCAATTCATTAGGAATTCTATGTACCTCTATTTGGATAATTTCCAGATTAATGTTTTTTTAAAAAATGTTTGGTAGCAGGAATCACACTCATGGTCTCATGCTTGCCAGGCAGATATTGAGCCACTGAATTAAATTCCTGACCCCCTCAGATCAATTTTTTAAATCAGTTTTTAAAACTAGTTCTATAGGTCACTCTAGACACACAGTTAAAATGTCCTAATTAATCACCGAAGTTTCAAAGAAATTAGTATTTCTATCAGAACCACCAATATTAGTCTCTTAATAATGGTAGAATTAGTTTTATGTAAATTTACATATTTTAAATTGACATTTTTTAACTGGTTACAAAGAAGCATTGGTGAAAACATCTTTGCATTTGTGCTTTTTATTCATCTTAGGACTAGCCATTTTGATAAAATTTGTGCAGAAGATGATATACCTGTTTTTATAATGTTTATGCAAATATTGGCGTTCTGAAGTAATTGTTAATTTTTTTTAGAACTTAGAAAGCAAAATAGCCACATGGAACTTGCAATTGAGAACGAATAAGCACGAGGCTGCAGCCATGAAAGAAGCAAGTAAGCAGAAAGCGATAGCTCTAAAAAAGGCATCGAAAATCTACAAACAGAGGCTTGAACATTTTACAGGAGATGCTGAACACCTCACTTCCCAAATTAGGGATCAGGTAGTACGAACATATGTTCTTTTTCAAAGATACACTTTATGTACTTGGTTTGTGTTGTTAATACCATGGTGCTTAATGTAGTAAGTTTAGCCTTCTACTGTTGATGCTAGAAAACTTTACTCATTTTTGCTTTAGTCTTTTATTTTGCAAGCTTACATAAAAATATTACATTTCTATTTTGAATTATATCAGCATTTCCTTGGCAGTTTTGTGAAAGGAAATGTTAATTATATTACACACACACACACACACACACACACACACACACACACACAGCTTCTAAGGCCAACTAAGGTAAAGCTTCATAGCACATCAGCATATTAAACATCCTAGAGAGGCCTCTAGAAACACAGTGCAATGAGGGTAAGGAACTAAGAGTTTCCCACATTTATTTAACCACAGAACTCTTCTTTTCCCCACAAAGCAGCTCTTGGAACTGGTTCTGAGAAATATCAGTTTGGGAAATGCTGATTTATGTTATTAGACCATATGATTTTATTCAGTAATTCACTTCATCTAACCTCTGTAATGCATTTAAAACCATATGCTGACGTAAACACACCATGTGAAAGATATCTTAGAGTATAGTATGGAGTTGAAAAATGGACTTAGTGCTTTGTTGTTTTTGACAAATTATTATATTTATTCAGTTACCAGCTAATGAAATATTTATTCCTTTTAATGTCTCACTAGTATCCCATCTCTTAAGAACTTATGTTAAGGCTTATAGGATTATTAGAGGCTCTAAGAAATGAAAACAGATTTGCATAAAAGCTTGTGCAAGCAAAACAACTTAATATTTTATAATCTCAAGTGTTAACATTTTAAGGACCTAATATTTAACCCACACTCATAAGCATTGAAGACTTGGTTCAAAGTCTAGAAAGTTGTTGACATGGTTGTTAACAGCCATGGTTGAAGATATTCCAGAGTGGGAAAATAGATTTTGAGTCTTTAACACTCTTGAGGGTTTCCTATTGAAATAGCGTCACCCATTCCCCAAGTCATGGTGTAGAAGGGACCCTTCATTTAACGCTGTGACTGGAGATAAGAACTTAACCTCTATAATCCAACTTTCCTTTCTGTGAAGTAGGGAATAATAAATCTGCTTGTTTTGCATGACTGTGGGTGGGATACATGAGAAAATGTGTGTCATAATATGTTGCGTGCCTGTAACACATTTTTGCTATGCTCTGCTCCTTTTTTTTTTTTTTAACTTTAATGCATGTAGTTTGTTTCATTTGTTTGCTGCTGCCTGTCTTTAATGTTCTTCCCCAACTCACCAGAGGTGGTTCTTTTTAAAAATCATTTAGGTACCTTTTCATTCACCATCTTCCCTGACCATTCTCTAAGAGCTAGTTCTTCAACAATTTAAAACACTTAATTTTTTGTCGTAGCATTTATTACAATCCAAAGCTCTCATTTGTTATTTAGTTGTTGTCCTCTTTTTCTTCCTCCCTCATTTTTTTAAAAAAAAAATTGTTATTTTCCTCTACTAGAATACAAGTCCTAAGTGACAGGAGTTGGTTTATCCCATTCACCTGAGAATATCACTATTTAAACTGTAGTTTTAAGTCCAAAACTTGAAGAGTTCAATAAGAGCTAAATAGCCATTCAGTAAAATGTCATCACATTTATTTATACATTCTACTTCAGAGATATCAAGGAGAATGAAAATTTGAAAGCTGCATAGTTTTTGGTCATTAGAAGGTCACTAATTACTAGTTTATAAGCAGCTTCAGTCCAGGGCAAGGAAGGGTAAAATGAGCTTTTGTTCTGTGTCTGTATTTTAAGAATGACTAAAAGAAGAAAGGGGGATTTTGCAAGTGCTAAGCTGAACTGATACTGATATTCAGTGCCTAGGGTCCAAGATTTAAGTGTAATTCTGACACTGAAGAATTATCCAACGTTTCCTGTGAAATTAGACATCCTTATTTACATCTAGTTATTTAGATGTGAGATTTCTTTAAAGCAAAGGTAGGCTACCTCAGTCCCTTCTAGGAAGGTGACAGAGCATCAGTTTCTACATTCTAGGCATGTCCCAGCTAATTATGTACTGTACTCCATATGAATTTTAGGTAACAATTATATATCTCATTTATAAATTCTTTTTTATAGGTAAAACATCTAAATATCTTAATTCATATTATAAATGTGTACTTGGTGATGTATATTATATCCAACTCCATACTTTGTATTAAATTTTGTCCTAAAATATGAACTAACTCCTTCCTATCAGAAATATTATTATACAAAAGTGTAAATTTCTGTCTTGCACATAGCAGATGCATTGTAATCCTTGTTTGCTAAAAGAAAGGGTAGAAGGAATCACAATAAATACTAACTGTTGCTTGGACAATTTCTGGGCCTTCTGATTTCTAATTCATTACTATCAGTGAATCATCACTAATTCATACTAGAAAACTGAATCCCATTCAGTTTGTTTTTCTCTGGAATGTAGGCTGGGGCACAGAGGCTACAATTTTTTAGGTGGATCTTTGGAGAGCTGTTTGACAGTTATTTATTGCATGTATGCTGCGTTCCAGACACTATCAAGGTCCAAGGAAATAGAATGATAAATAAAATAGAGAAAAATCCCTAACTTTCATTCAAAATAGATTAGACACTACTATTTTCAGCTCTTTGCCGGCAATAGCAGTGCTTAGTAGCTGGTGGAGGTGATGCCACCAGAGCTTACATTTTTGTTACAAAGATAAATCAAGCTGCACTATTGGATTCTCTGAAGTTGTGAAATTAGGAATAGTTTCTATTTATACTGTACATATTTATGGAATTGTTAGCATCTTCTGCACATGAAATGTAAAATGAAAAGTTGAATAATTGGGAAATTATCTTAATTACAAAATATTTGATAGTTACACTGATAAACTTTAAAATGTTAAGTTCGAACTGCCATTGTGTGGATATAAAATAATAGCAATGTAGGTATTTTGTTAAAGTTTAAAACTTTCCTATATTCAAAGTTAAACACTATACTTTTCTGTAATGAAAGTTCCATGCTTTATTAAAAGAATGTTTTCTTACTGTAATAAGTTTGTGTTTAGGACCCCTAAGAAAGCAAAATGTTTTTAAATTAAGAATACTTTCATGTATTTTTTAGGAAGCCAAGTTGTCTGAAACACTTGCTGCTTCCAATGCCTGGAAAAGCCATTATGAGAAAATCGTAATAGAAAAAACTGAGTTGGAAGTTCATATTGAAACAATGAAAAAGTAAGAAAAGAATTTAGATTTCTGTTTAGGAGAAGTATTTTTAGTTCTTTCCTCTTTCAGTGTTGGTATTTGGTTCTTCTGGATCTCATATGGTAAAGGTGCTATACTATCTGCATAATTTATTTTGCCACTTAAATCCTTTAAACTTTTCTTACTATATTATAAAAATAATAAAAAGTGATTACTCATTAAACCTGCATAAGTATTCCCATTTTGAAAGTTGAACTTGCAAAACCTCATCTTTGCAATTGAATGTTTGTCATTTATTAATTATAGTAAATGTTAATACTTTCTCAAGTTGAAGTGACATTTCTCAAATAAGAATGTGTAGTTCTATATAGGAAAGTTATAATCTTAACAAATAAAAGCTTTGAAAGTCCAAAAAATATTTCATAACAATAACTTAAATGCATAACAAAAAATGTGAGTAAAAATACATCTTGTATGCTTTGAAATTTATTATGGATAATCTAACAATTATGAACCCTTAATATTTTCATGTTGTATTATTTATTGTGCTCAGTTTTATCATTGAGAGCTAGCATGTACTTTGCGTCTAAACATTAATTGTCATTACCTTACTTGATTTGTATTCTTCAAACCCAAAATTATGTGTAAATAATGTGCATGCATACAGATAAGAGAGAGAGAGGGAGAGACAAAGACAAAAGAGATATGCTTATCTGGGATGATAGTTTTGGCAATTTATTGAATAGCAGAGGATTGTTGTATAATTTTATTGGCCTCATCAATGGATAATTATTTCTCATCAAGGCCACTCTGTTGGTAATCCTATAGATTAACTCTCTGCTTCCCTTGCTCTATAAATTCTATTAATTTTTGTAATCCCACATTTGAAACAATGCACCCTACAAAAAGGATTTTACTAATACACTTAAAATGCATTATTTGAATGGTAATTTCAATGTCTTCTATAAAAAGTTTACAACTTTTATTTTATTTTATTTTATGAAGGCAAATTGATAACCTTTTGGAAGATCTGAAGAAAGTAGAAGCCTGTGGAAAAAATTCATGTGAAGAGATTCTTAGAAAACTTCACTCAATTGAATATGAAAATGAAACTCTGAATCTTGAGAATACAAAACTAAAGGTACTGTGTTTTTAAGTGTGTATGTGTGTATTCTGTGTTTAGTGTAGTTAGTAAAAGCAGTTTAAAGAAATAGCAGAAATCGTAGGTTCTTGTATCGCATTGTCATTTTGTTTCTCAGGATATTATATTTTCATTAAAACAGGTAATTTCTAAATCTGCCCGTCTAATTTATTTGGATATGTATATGTCAACACATACACATACACATGCATATATATATATATATAGAGAGAGAGAGAGAGAGAGAGATAGATATATAATGCACATATGTAAATTTTTTTAGTTGTATACACAGATACATGTTTAAATTTCATTTAGCAGTACAAAGTAAGCCTTGAAACTTGAATAACTGTCTTTGTCTTAACTTTAAATATTTATTTAAAATCTTTAATTTTAGCAGTTAGGTAAGTTATTCAAAATTACATTAACTCTAATGCATAAGACTATTGCTAAGTACCATGGTTACGATAGTGTATAACCTCAGGCCTGGTCTGTTTGAAACCAGAAAGTATGTTCTTGGCTGCTTTATAACCAGAAAGAATTTTCCAACTGAGTCAAATCCAAGGGATGATTGGTTTGTATGTGTACCAGAAAAGAGACAGGGAAATTTTTATACTTTCTGAGAAAAAAGATATTTCTCAGTCAGCTAGAAATGTGTGTATCCTGATGAGACTGACTGAAGATGGCACCATTCAGTTCTGTAAAATAACTTGTGGAGGAAAAAATGAGAGCCAGCGAAGAATCATTTTTAACAATGAAACAAAGTTTTTGTGCACAGGATAAGTAGAATATTGGCATATCTGTAACACAGAATATATTTTTTTAAAAAATTGTGAAATAAACATCTAACATTGTTTTCCTTGCTTGTCTTAGTTACTTTTTACTTATTGCTGAGACAAAATACCTGAAGCCCAAAGTTGGGAAAGGAAAGGTTTCTTACAGTTTTTGGAGGTTTCAGTCCACACTCAGTTGGCTCCAAGGCAAGCGGGCATGGCTGGGCCACAGTTCAGAGTGGCTGCAAAAAGCAAACAGGAACCAGCAAAGAGCAAGACACACCTTCCTGCCATTACATCATATCCTGGCTCCACCCCTATATGGGTGGAGCACTGACACCATCAATCCAAGCGCTAGACAATGAACCAATCACAAATACATAATGCAAACTCATGAGGCCTGGGGGACACAGACATAAACCATGATATTCCACCCCTGGCCCCCAGGACTCATGTACATCCTTTATACAAAAGACATTTAGTCCACCTCCAAGAGTTGCCAAAGTCCTAACAGCTTCAGCATTGCTGAAAAGTCCCAGTCCCAAGTCTCCTCCAAGATCTATGGCAAACTCTTAACAGTAAGCCCTGTACAAATGAAACAAGGTTAAACATTTCTGAAATGCAAAGGCACAAGATAAACATTACCATTCCAAAAGTTACAAATAGGGGAAAATAAAGCATTGGAAACAAAGCAAGTCCAACATCCAGCAGGATAAACATTAAGTCCTAGAGTTCCATGCTTACTATCTGAAGCAATCTGGTTGCAAGCTCCAAAAGGCTTGGGTGATTCCACCCCCATGGCACTTCTGGCAATTCAACTCCTGCAGCTTTTTTCTTAACTCCTCTCTGCTTGCTTTTTGCAGCTTTCCTTGGATCTTCCACATTCCTGGCTTTTTCAAACTTCTGGGGTCTCCACTACACCTTTGGCTTCACACTTACATCTTCACAAATTGCCCTCTCAGGTGCACACTGCTTGGCCCACAGGCCCTTTGCAATCGAGTTGGAAGCCATCTTGCCCTCAGAATTTGTGCAATTTCCTTGCACCTAAAATCAGCACCTTGTGGATGCCGCCAAGGTTTGCTGCTAGCTGAAGCAGTAGCCAGGCTTTTCTCTCTCTTGGCTGTAGGGGTCAGTTGCCTGGATTGTAGGGCTCCGTTTACCTGATTGTGCCAAAAAGCTCCTCTGTGTTGCCGCCATTCTGGAAACTCATGTGGCCTCTGTTGCCATTCTGGAACCTCACGTGGCCTCTGTCGCCATTCTGGAGCATGGCATTCTGCAGCTTTTCCCTCTGAGCAAATTCTTTCACCTTTGCAGTGAGGCTGCAAAGGGTGGGGACCCACTTCCTGGGATGCCCCAGGGCCATCTTTCTTATCTCTCTGTTTCCCATCAACAATCAAAATCTCAACTTTACAATCCACAGCCTTCCTGGGATTTTCCTTCTGGCCAAACTCACAGCATTGTAAATTATCCTGCTGGGCTCTTTGCTCTCCATTTGAAACATAAGCTGGCTGAAAGCCCCCAACAATAGCATGCCACAGCCTCAATGTTCGATTGCTTTTTAATTTCTTTTTCATGATTAATCAGTCCATTGTCCTTTTTCTCAGTCTCAGGCAAAGTCTCTGGGCAGGAGCAAAATGCAGATAAACTTTCTGCCAAGCCATAACACACGTCATGTGGAGTCCAACAACCAATGCAGTCCTTCCCAGCAGAAACCTCCCAAGCCTGGTCTTTGCCATGAGGCTTTCTATCAGCCTTCTGGTCTCTGGAGCTCTGACCAGCATCTCCTCTACAGAACAGCCTAAGCTGCTCCAGCTCTATGCATCCAGGCAACATGTCCAAACCTTTCCAAACTGGGTCCACAAGCCATTTCCAAAGCCCCTCAGAAAACATGGTCAGGTATAGTCACAGCAAATGACCCCACTCCTGGTACCAAATTCTGTCTTAGTTACTTTTTTACTCATTGCTGAGATAAAATACCTGAAGCCCAAAGTTGGAAAAGGAAAGGTTTATTTCTTACAGTTTTTGGAGGTTTCAGTCCACACTCAGTTGGCTCCAAGGCAAGCAGGCATGGCTGGGCCACAGTTCATGGCAGCTGCGAAAAGCAAACAGGAACCAGCAAAGAGCAAGACACACCTTCTTCCTGCCATTACATCATATCCTGGCTCCACTCCTATATGGATGGAGCACTGACACCATCAATCCAAGCACTAGACAATGAACCAATCACAAATACACAATGCAAACTCATGAGGCCTGGGGGACACAGACATAAACAATGATATTGCTTATAATGATTTAATTTATCATTTATTCAAAATTACCTAATAGGTATACATTTATTTTGTGTATTAAGATGTCTTTATTTTAATTTGGATAGTGCTTGGGAAAAAAGGTCTTTAATGATAAAAAGTGCCAAGACCTTCTTGTGCTCTTAAAGAGTTAAGTGGTTTTGTTTTTTTATTTGATTTATTTGTTTTTGCATTAGAAATGTATTTATTTCTTATTGGAAAAATTATAATTATCAGTTGTTTTAAATTTATGGAAATTACATAAAATTGAAATAGACTCATGAATTCCTTTACAGAGAAGATACATGTTTAAAGGAATAATGGTTATTTTAAAGTTTATTTCCAAGATGAAAAATACAGACATCCAAATTTTTTTTGCCTTTCTGGATCTTTGTTTCTCTATGTTTCTAAAATGTTATCTTCCAGAGAATTTTATCCGTTGTAGATTTTGACAACGCAACGATGCATATTTTCTAGTTATTGATCTGTTTTTGTAGAAGATACGTAGTGTTAGGTGAATAATAATTAAAAGTTACTCTATAGGACAGAAACAAAGTCAGGAGATTACTGTAGTTAAGGGAGAGGGAGGGAGAGCCTTTGGTTGGTTAACAGGGTTGTAACTTTTGTCATTTTTGTCAGTCTCAGTCTTCTTTAGATCAGTGGGCAACACCAAGCTCATTAAAACTCAAGCCCATTTCATCCCAAATGGAGAGACTTGATTAATTTTAGTGGAACACTTAAAATTGAGTCTTGTTGCCTTTAGTGGTTAATGAATGAGTAAAGGGGGACTAAGAATGTGGCTCAGTGACAAGGTGCTAGCCTAGCATGCGGGAGACCCTAGCCGGGTTCATTCCTTAGTATTAAGGAAAACAGATGTAGAAGAGATGGAAATGGTGAGAATCTAAGTGATATGGCAAACAGTAGCTGCAAGGCCCTATTTTTCTTAATATAGCTTATTTTGTATACTATATTTTCTCTACTTCTTTTTAGGAAAGATTTTTTTTAAAAAATCAAAGTCACAAAGAAGTACTCTTTGCACTGCAACAGAATTGACTTCTTTGTTATACTGACATCATTCCCTAATTACTAGTATTTTAAGGGGAGCCTCACTGGACAAATGTAAAACAGATTATGTACCCTGCCTTCCTATTTTGTAAAATAAGGATACTGATTTTTACTTCTTTTCCTCTGTCTATCCTCTCCACTTTTACTTCTCAGTTTCCTTTTATATGGCCAATGTTAACATTGACAGTTTTTTCAGTATCCATGAGTTTGTTTGTTTGTTTGTTTGTTTGTTTGTTTGTTTGAGGTAGGGTTCAGGCTGGTCTTGACCTCACAATATAGCCTAGGCTGATTTGGAACCAGTGGTGATCCCTCCTGCTTTAGCTTCTACCAAAGTGCTGGGATGACAGATGTGTGCCACCATAGCTGGCTAACTGCTGTTGTTATAGGTTAATTCTAGATATGGACAACAGTATGCAATTGTTCTTTCACTCCAGACTCAAATAATATGTTTACAATGTATTTCTTTTTCAGCATTTCACTTTTTCCTGGACTTTGTAAATACCTTGGGTTGTTAATACTCTTTGCCTTTATCATGATCTTGTTTTTTCCCTGAAGCTCTTGTCACCCACATTTTGTTGTCTGAAGAACCTGTTTTCCCCACTTTCTCGTCCTGGAGAGACCTTCTTTCTCTGGTTTCCACCTGGACTTTGGATGGACTGCTCTCCAGGCCTGCTGCCCACGTGACATGCTGGGTCATTATGTACCTGCTTTTCTGGTTCTGCTGATTCTAGGACCCCATGCTGTCTACCTTGTTGCTCCTCATTTTGCTTGAACATATCTTCAGAAACCTCCCCTTTAAAAAGAGACAATGAGAAGTAAATATTAAAATTCTTACATGTCTAAAAGTACCTTTATTTACTCAGTTTGGCTGATG